CATGCACAATGCGCTCGCGTATCCAAGACTACATAACCCGAAAACGCGCGTTGTCGGCATTTACTGTCCGACAGGCTTGTTGAAGCCGGCGCATGCCGGCGCGTCCAGCAGCGCGCAGCAAGCAGTAGCAAAGGAGGAAAAGGAGGAAAAGGAGGAAGAGGAGCAGGCCGAGGGGTGTGAACCGGAGCATAAAGACGAAGAACAGATAGTACCTCCCAAAAAGAAACCCGCTCCACCTCATGGAATTGGAAGGGGTACCTGTGTCTGCGTTTCTAGTCCGCGGGGCCAGCACTTTAGAACCGTCGGCCGATCCGACCACTGGAATCGCGTGTGGTTGTTGCCCGAAGAAGCGCTGTATTTGCTGGAGAGGGGGAGTTTGGATATCAGGTGGCCTGCGCCGGCGGGAGGACACGCAGCCGGAAGCGCGGAGACAGAAGGGGCCCAAGGAGGGAATGTTGAGGATGTGGATGGGGGAGTCCCGATGAGTTTACAAGCGGCGTATGCATGCTTTCTCGGTCGTGGAGGGCTAACATTGGAGCGTTATATTGTCTATGCGGGCCTGAGAAGGGGTGGGTATACTGTGATTCGTGCACCAAGTTGGGATCAGGGGGACGGGGACAATGACAGTGGGACAGCTGAGCAGGTCACCATCGCCGCTGCCGTTTCGACAACGAGTGAAGCTGGGATACACGCACATACGGAGCAGCGGCGTGGGGGTTTAATCAGCCTGCTAACCCGATTTTTTAACTCGATATTTGAACCCGGACCTACACGCCGCTTAACACACGGCCCAGTCATCGGTCTAGGTATACACCGTAACTATCGTACGTCTAATTACAACTCCTCCCCCGAGCCAAATACTTGAGAGAATCCAACCAAAATATCATCAAAGCTAACCGCAATTTTAGACGACATCTACCGCGCCCTCTCCATAATCCCTACCCACAACCCAACACATCCAGACCCCACTCCGCCCAAACACACCACACCCCCTTACCGCCTCGCCTTCAACGTCTACAAACCCTCCACCCCCTTCCGCAAATCCTCCCCAGGCAACCCCGACTTCCGCCTCGCCGTCATCGACTCCCGCCGCCACCCCACCCTTCCCACACTCCACGAGTTATCAGCGCTGTTGGAAAGCACGCCGCTGGATCCGCCGCGCGGGGAGAAAATGGAGCGCCTGTTGTATATGCGGCTGCGGCATGGGTGGCGGAATGTGATTTTGGCGGTGGTGGATCAGGGGGTTGTGAGTTTTCTGAGGGTGGCGGATGCCGGGTTTGTTGGGGTGAGGGTTTATGAGGGGAAGGGTGGGACCAGTGGGAATAAAGGGGGGAGGAGGGGAGGGGGGAATGTTGGTGGTAGTAATGGACGTGGGCGCGGGCGTGGACGTGGACGTGGGAGATAGGAGGTTTGGGCAATAAAGGGGTGGGTGTCTGGATGGTGTTCCTTTTGAAAATTATGACTCGAGAGAGTACGGAGCCAGAAACTTTGTAAGATATGTTGGAATTTCCCTGTCGATATGGCAAAGTTTGTAACATAGATAAAAGTTATGTATGTATGGGCCGGGGAACAGCCCATGGAAACGAAAACGATAATGTATGATCCACAAATCTCACCCAGCAACCCGTCAGTCCCTTGCTGAACAATACTCCGCGCAAGGACCTGGGCGAGGCAAAGGATTTCGTGCTTCTGCCCCCTGGCAGATAAAGACACAAAACCGACTAGAGATCAACCACCTCAATCTTCCCATTTGCAATATTAGACGTTTCAATCTATGGGCGCACGAGCAACGCTGACGCAGAACCAGAGGCGAGACGTCAGTAGTTGCATGTGCAGTTTTTGCCAGAGGGAACGTGATGCGTTGATGGGGTGCATTTGTCAACTTCTTGCTGATATTGCCCTTTGCGTGCAGTGCTGCTCCCCATTGTCAAGCACGAAGCGATTGAATAGTTCCAATTCTCATTGAGATCTTTGCCTTAGACTTAATAACACCCCATGTATCGTACATACGCTGTATTCTATCTATATTTCCCTTTGTAAAAACGCCTGATAACGCCCGCTTCCCCATTTTTCCAATAATAAAAGACGAATATTGCCGGTATACGATATTCCCGTTTTTTAAGCTATAGATAACTAATTGTTAGCGCTCCACGATCCCTCCCTCTGTCTGTAGATGTAGGCAGAGAAGAAGAAGAAGAAGAAGAACATACTATCCAAATAATCCGCCGCGATCAATAGCTCTAGACACATCTCGAGCGGGAACTCCATGTCAGGCACGTTATTCTGGCCTTTATTCCGTTCGTTATAAAGGAAGTATTCGCAGACTTTCTCGAGCACGACTCCACTATATATAGCACACACGGGAACAAGCAAAGGGGTGTCAGCCCAATGCCAATGGCATTCGTCTGTTGGCGTCCTGCATGCTGGAAATTGGATATGGGGGAAAGGAAGGAAGTAGGGACGCAAAAAAACAAAAACGAACTTCATATTCTCAAAGACACAGCGGCCTGTGACCGCTTCGGAGAAGTTGCCTGGTTAAATAAACATGCTTAGTATGGCGTAAAAAAATTTTGGTGAGTTAAGAGGATATACTCACTTGCTGGATCCAACATGCGCCGTATAGTGCCAGACACACAGGCAGCACTGCGGGGTATTATGAATTCGAATCCATCGTTGGATGCCAGAGTGACGTACTCCGGCGGGGATGGTCTTTCAAACATAGCTGTGGATGATAGGTGGTCGTAGAAATTATTGGGATGAAAGGTTTAAAAAGCTGGCTGATATTGGGCTGGTGGGTGGTTGAATTGAGCGTACATAGCTAGCCACTTTATATTTATGAGAGCTTGATCTCCGGGGGCCACTGATAACAGCATTAACTATGGATAGGGTTGGTTCGTTGCGGAGTCGGACTTTCTCTCGAAAGAAATATATTAATTAAATATTATATTGAAGTCGCGAGTCGCGAAGTCAGGTGCTTTGACGCGGCTCCGGGTCCCGTTTAGTTATATAATTACCTCGGCTGTGGTCTCGCTGACATCTTCCAATGGGCAATTGGTTTAGTGGTATAATATCCCCTTAGCATCGATCCGGAGGTTCAATTCCGGAGTCACGTGACTGGGGATGGTCCAGGGTTCGATTCCCTGATTGTCCATTTTTTTTGTCTTTCTTTTTTTTTTTATTATTATTTTCTGTCGCTATCCATTCTGATTTTGTCGATATTCACTTCTTTAGATTAATCTTGACTGTAACTCTGTATGGGAGGTTGAGGAAGTTGATGTTTTGGTTTTTGGGCGCAACCAATTCTCTTGTTCATTAGGTAATGAACTTGCATTGAGCTCCATGAAGAAACAATAACAACACCTCGATTACCCATCTATTACTACTATCAAGTATAGTGAAAATACCTTTATCAATAAAGTGTTTCGTAACATATCTATAAATCTATATATATTCAGATGGATGGGTGAGTGACAGGCCGTTCAATGACTGATATTTCACGTTACTAACTCGAGAACCTAGGAACCATCTACCACTCCAATAATAATATTGTTGAGCATTATTACTCCATATAAACCAACCCATCACAATGCCTCCGGGCGTATCTTCATTTCCTTCACGCTTCCAGTCCCTGAGACTGGTAGGCAGCGGTTGTTGGATCTCTGCAGCCCTCAGTCCCCAGGTACGGGGTTCGACATGTTCGCTCTCCAGGCGAGGCCGACGTGCAATCACTTCCCAGCTATTAGTTGGGCCAGAATTTCGCCGTTTACAACAGTTGAAGCTTTCCAGGAGCTTCTCAACAAGCCATGGCCAGGCCAAGACGTCAAGCATGTCTGACCCGACCTCAAAGCGGCCTCCAAATCAATCACCGCTCAAAGGGCTAACCTGTATGGTGACGGGCGGCTCCTCTGGTATTGGCCTTGCAATTACACGAAGATTTCTACGCGAAGGTGTAGAAAAGGTGATTCTTGTCGGGAGGAGTAAGCACAGGTTAGAGGAAGCGGTTAGGGATCTAGAAGGAGACAAAGAGTTATCATCATCTTTCGACGACCTCCCGCAAAATGATGGAGTGGATATTCGCGATGCAGCAAAAAGAGCAACCCCGCCCATCCAAAGGATAGAATACGATAACGTGATACATGATCAACCGCACGACGTCAGCATCGCGGCTGCGAAGGACTGCGAAATATCGCATTTGGGAACACGCTTCACACTCGCTGTCGGGGATGTCGGGAACCCAGCTTTCTGGGGTGATGAGATTAAGAAATTAATGGTATATATATATGTCCATCTACCTCTAAAAACAAACTAAACCACTGCTTTCTATATAACCCTAATACAAACACACAAAAAATCACCCACAGGACACCGTCGACATCCTCACCAACGCCGCCGGAATCTCCTACACCTCCCTCCTCCCGCTAGCCAAAGACGAACATATCACCACCATGCTCCACA